GCCAGCTCCTGTGAATTGAGTCACTGGAGCTTGCAAGTTGCCAGTGTAGCCTGTGGTGAAGACTCTAGCACTATGCGGCCTCCAAGAGAAAGGGCGTATCCGTATTCCTAGATGTCGTGTCGTCCTGTTCTTTGTCTAGCAAACTATGCTGACAGGATGAATTGGATGAGATATCCTGCATATTTGCTTGTGGACTTCCGATTAATTTTTATTTCACTTTTTTTGTTCGCCCACGAACAACTTGAAACGGATAGTTCTTTCATGCTGCCGTGCAATGCAGTGTACGCCCAGAGTAGTACGGGTTGAGCAAGATTCTGGCAAACCGGCGACCTTCCCGTGCTGGTACGAGGCGCGAGCAACGCTCGGATTTTGTTGGCTGCATTGACGTGGGGAGCTCAGGGTACCGCTAGTATAGCTGTCAGGTTGGAATCTAAAGATGTTCTGTCAGCAGCCTGCCGCCTGCTCCTGTTCTCCTCATCACCTGATACTTTGATACACTTTGCACTCCCAAATTCCACACTCGAGCTTTGGATGGTCACTCCCAGCCTTTGAGCAAGCAATGTTGATTTAATAGCCATGGCCTCCACCCCAGTAGCGATGGCCTCCAACCTAATAGCGTTGTGCTGAAGTAAGCAATGTTGTACTTTGCTCCGAGTCAGCATGTCGCACGTCCACCAGGCAGGGTGCAGCTCGGGTGTGACTGGCTCCGCCCTGGGACTTTGGCGTCGCTTGCGGAGGGCATGCGCCAACCAGGACTGGGATGTACCGAATAAGCTTACCTATCGGATGCTTTTAGGAAATGCTGGAAAGGCGTGCTTTGCATTGGAGGTGGTTAAGACAATCAGATGCACGGCAGTTTTTCCTGCAAGGAAGACGGTCGTGAGCAAGAGCTCCTAGTTCGGCGCTCCGCTCTTGGTGGTGAGGAGCATCAAACAAAAGCTTGAATGGTGGCCATTGTTTCATTTTGAGAACCAAGGAGCCTTCGAAGAAAAAACACAACAAACATGAAACTGGTTACGTAATTATATATCCCTTGAATGCGACACTCAAGCAGCGGCTGATAGTGATAGTGCATATCGCGCATGCTATACGCAAAGCACAATCACTCTGCACATTAGAATGCATCAGCGTGACATGCTTGAGCTTGTACTTGTACTCAAAGCGTTCAACCGCAAAACACAAGCGCGGACGCTCTGCAAAGAACACGCTAGTAGTAACAAGAAGCTAGTAGAAACACGACATCCTTGCTGCTTCGAACGACCGCGGCAGATGCAGAGGAGGACAGCGAGGACAGCGAGGACGGCGACGTCGAGCGGCACATCACCCGGTTGGAGCAGACCAGGGTGAAGGCGCCAGACTGGTTTGGGGAGCCAGATGCCTGCTGCTCGCTAAGCTGGGGTTGGACAAGAAACCAGTTTTCTGGGACTTGCACGGACTTGCAACATTTTGCAACTAGGATAAGTGGCAAGTCAGTGCTATGGTGACATAACATTCGATCCCTTTGGCTGGGCATCTTTGAGAATGCCAAAAAGTAGAAGAGGCTACAGTGACTACAGTACCTTTTGGCAGTGGCCAAGTCACGGATGTTGATTGAGGTCAGGCCACAGAAAAGGGCGACCGGTAAAAGTCAGTTTGCTATTCCAGCTGCTTCTCCTAATTATATAAATGAAAAAGGCTTGGTAGGAAAGTCACCTCTTCATCAAGTTTCCATCTACTGAGATGTGATGGCTGGTGGAAACCATTGCGACCACAGCTCTTGTGTACGAGGCCCATGGAGTTTGGCCGCCACCGGCATTTCCCAGCCACAGCTGGTTCCTGATCAGTTTGGCACCCAGCCTTCATCGAGAGACTCAGTCGACCTCAACAGGGACCTCGTTCGCTGGGATCTGCGCGAGTTCGACCGACATCAAGTAGGTCAACGATCCTGGTGCCATGATCCACAACCGTGTAGGCTCAGAGTCAGTTGGCGAAGTGGGTTCTTTAAGGAAACGTTTGCCAAAGGGCATTCTTGAGCCTTCACTGTAGGAAGCTGTTAATTACAGGATCAAGATTGGAATGACAAGAGTCAATTAATCCGGTCCACCAATTAAAAAACACGGGCCCCCCCCCACCCCCTAATAAGCGTAATAAGGAAACCTCGGTCGCATTTTTTTAAATAGGGGGTCCCTGAAATCGGGGGGTCCAAAATAGGGTCACCTGGGAAGAGCTTCAAAACAAAAAATAACCCAGGAAATTTTTATATAAACTCGTATCAAAAATTCAAAAACCCACCAGATCGAAGGGTCTTCCTTTTCCCCTACAAAAACCTTTATTAGAATAGGGATTCTTCAGTAGACTAACAGCTAAAGCTTTCGAAAGGTGATGCCATGCGGTTTTGCATGACCTCGGTGGCAAGTGCGTTTGCGTGAGTCGGTGCCATTGGGGGAAGGAAAGCCTGCTGGTGTAAGCACGGCGTGTCATGGTGGACAGACAGGGCGGACAGAGGTGGGCAGTTACGGTTGTTTTTGGAACCTAAAATTTTAAAACACACTCCAAAATCGGCAATGTTGGTAGTTCAGTAGCGGATTGAAAGGGCAGTAATTTAAAAGCGAATACAAGCCGTATTTAGGGGCTTCTGACATGTTTTTTTTTAAATAAGGTCCGTTTTAAATAGGTACTCGGGATAAAAAATCCTGTCAGAGGCAGACGATCAAAGATTCTCTTGCTTCAGCCTGTTGAGGTGGTGGTTGTGGTGGCTTGGGCATTGCGACAGCCGGTTGGCTAGTCACCCAGGCCACTGGTCTCAAGAGATCAAGCACTCTCTATATTGACCCAAGGACATTCAAGGACCAAGACGTTCAAATTCACAAGAAACTTTGGGCTTTGAAGTTCTTGAACTTGCTCCGGTTTCAGATCAAAAGCTGCCACCCGTTCGCACGACTTGTGATTCCTTTGCTTGCACTGATCGATGGCGGCAAAAGCTCTGGTGGCTGGCACTGATCGATGTTTCGTCACTTCAGATCCCATGAGGCAGAGCGATGTCGAAACTCACCGAGTACAACTCTGCCATCAGCAGATTTGGCAAGACCAAACAGTGGCCTGAGGCTTTGCACCTGCTTCATCGACTTGTGGAGGTACATTTGGAGGCCAACGTCGTCACTTACAATGCAGCAGCTGGAGCATCTTTACGCAAGGACGTCTGGGCTGCGGTTTTACAGTTGGTCTCTGAGGCACATGACAAACGCTTGAAAGCTGACGTGATCACTGGGAATTCATCCTTAAGAGCATGCAGTCAGGAACGTTGGCGTGAAGGCCTTTGGCTTCTTGAAGAGTTTGCCAATGACACGCTCGAACTAGATGTAATTGCCTACAGCTCAGCTTTAGGCGTTTGCCAGGGCAGAGAGCGTTGGAATTGCGCACTGTATTTGCTGGAAGCCATGGACAGATGTCAGATCAGGGCGGATGCGGTCGCATATTGTGCTGCAATCGCTTGCTGCCAAAAAGGAGGACAATGGCAATGGTCCTTGCATTTGCTTGGCCAGATTCGGAAAATGAGTTCCGAACCAAACATCATCATGTACAACGTAACAATGAGCTCTTGTGAGGGCAGCGCACAATGGCAAAGGGCAATGGCTTTGCTGGAAGAGGCACAATGTCGAGGACTCCAAGTTGATATCATTACGTACAATTCTGCCACAAGTGTTTGCGAAAAGTCAAGCCAGTGGCAGTGTGCCTTGCATCTCTTTGTTCAAGCACAAGCAGTGCAATTGCAAAGAGATATCATCACTTTCAGCAGTGCTATCAGTGCATGCGAAAAGTCAGGACGATGGCAAGAAGCCCTGCATATATATGGACAGATCTTCTCAGCTAGATTGGTTGCTGATTTAGTCAGCTGCAACGCTACGATCAGTGCGTGTGAGAAGGGAGGTCAGTGGCAAGAGGCTTGCTTTTTGCTCAGGGAACTTACTCAGATGCGAATGCAAGGAAATGCAATCACCAAGAATGCCGTGATCAGTGCAGTGCAGAAGGGCAACCAGTGGCAATTGGCCTTGGGGCTGCTTTTACAAATGCGGGCAACAGGGACGGTTGACGGGATTTCCTACAATGCTGCAATAGCTGCGGGGGTTCAGTGGAGACAGGCCTTGCTTTTGTCCATGGACTTGAGAACAGATAGATCTCTGCGAGCGGACATTGTTACGTACAGCTCTTTGATCAGTGCAAGCGAGGGGCAGTGGCAAATTGCTCTAAGGTTTTTGAAGTCATCACAACAGAGTGATGGCATTTTGTACATTGCTGCCATGACATCCTGCAGTCGAGGTAGTGCCTGGCCAGCCATGTTGACCTTATTCTGTGAGCTTCAGGAGAAGCAGCATGAGATTGACACCGATGCATATGAAGTCATTCTACGTGCCTGTGAAGAAGGCCTCATTGAGAAGAAAGCTTTATGCCTTCTTAGAGACTTGGAGCACAAAGCCATTGTGCTACTTGGACAAACTCCAGACTAAGATGTGACGGCGGCTCAACACTCTTGCAAGTCATGGGTAAGAATATGCTTGTTTGTTGGCGATAGTCTGGCAAAAGGCATGTTGTTTGCAAGGCTGAGTTTGGGGTGCAGGCACCAAGGAAAGCACTAGTGGGTTCACAAGTCCGTGTAGTCACGTAGTCGCCACAGGCACCAATAGGGCGGGGGGGCTCCGTCCCAACTCACGATACCAACCCGCCAGAGTCAAGCTTTGGGGACCACGCAATGCGTCACAATATGACGCAATACCACACGCCTGAGAATTGTAAACCTTGCTGCTCAGGGGTGTTCGGCTGTGGACACTTGTCGAGAACGTCCTTGAGCGTAGAGATGGGGCCTTACAATCCAGTCCTGGTTTCAAAGACCTTTTGTGCAAGTGTTGTGCGATGTTGCGCACACGTATAACGTCCCAAGACCCTAAAGGTATTGATTTGGGACCTTGTCTTACATGGACTTGGATGTCCAACGAGAGCAATTAGTGTTTCTCGAAGAATGCAATGCGACAGACACTACAGGATGATCCACCAGACTAGGTGGCTGGCATTCAACATTTGATTGCTGGCCACAAGTAGCCTCGTCGACTTGTAGTGGCAGCAACGTATCCTGTTGGATTTAGTTTAGTATCATTCTTGCAACGGACCTGCGCCAGGGAGTGACGCATTTGGCACTTTTGTCTCGAACTGGCAAATGCCAGCAGGCCCGCGAGTCAAGCACATTATGTAAAAAGAATGTCAACCTTTGAGTTATTGAAATTGCATGATGTACAAAGCCTCTGCTGAAGCTGCTGCCAGGATGGTCCAGAAAGTGCGGACTTGCAGCGTTTGTCACACTGGCATGTTCCATTTAGTTTGGGGAAGCCACTTCAATCTCTTGGCGCCAAGACTTCCTGCCGATCAGGTGCAGCGAGACTGGCGTTCAAGTGCTATTGCATGCTTGCGACATCACCTCACAAGCACAGGCTCTTCGCAAACTGTAGGTGTTGAGATTTTTCCACATTCCTTCCCATGCATGACTTGCACATCATGCACTGGCATTTTCTGCCATGTACAGACGGGCATTCAAGGTAGACAGTACCCTGCAGACTATGCGGGCCTTCCAAGATGTTCCTGTTAAAGGCAAGGGCGGCAAGGCATTGCCTTTTCTGTTTGAGTTGGTGATCTTGCGCATTTCCAGGGGTGGTGCATGCTGCCGGCTTGTTGGAGGTTCTCAAGTGTTCGCTCTTCGAAACACTGGCTCCACGTTCTTCGCAGGACCATGTAATAGCCCACATGGAGCGAAGCCACCTGCAGCCTGTTCTGTCCCCGAAGATGGACACGCACCGAGATGCACACGGTTCACGAATGAAGATGTAGATGCTGATCAGATGCTACTACAAAAAGTGGAGTCCTGCATTGAGGATGGGGCAGTGAATTTGCATGCCCGTGACTCAGTATGCCTCCAACTGGTCAGACTTTTGATGAATTTCGATGATTTGGATTCTGTCCACATGGTAGTGGTGCTGTTTGAATTTCCAGCTGCGCGAGGCTGCTTTGAGCGGGACCAGCCTGGATCAGTTTTTGATGTTCTCTTCCGTGGCAGCACTGTTGGGCTCGCCAGGGTACGCTCCGCCATGTCCTTTTGCATGGGGGTAAGATACGGTAAGATGACACCGGAGATCGACTTGCACACAAATCCTGCACTTCTAAGATTCTAAAGTATTTTGATGTATTGATGTGGTGACGGAGTGAGAGCCATCTAGATTTCAGTATGACCGTCCAGTGCAGGCAGGGCAACTATGCAGCGGCAAACTCGTTCCTGGATTGTTTTGCACAATACCGTCAGGCGAAAGGCCAGGAGTGACGGACATTTGCATCAAGGATTTTGAAGCTTTCTAATAACTAGAAGCTTCCTTGGGAATCGCTTGGGAATCGCTTCACTGGGAATCGTTTCACCTGTAGTAACAATAAAGCATTCTAGTATGTCTTTGAAGCTTCTTAGTAAGAATAAAGCTACTAGGAACAAAGGGTATTGCTACTAGGAGAAGAGGCTACTAGTAGCTCCTGGCATTACTACTAGGAGCAAGGATGCTATTAGTAAAGCTTCCTAGTAGAAGCTGATTCTCAACCGCTGACTCGGCAGTGTGAGACTTTTGAGGCTTGCCAGCCTTGAGCTTGCAATGGGGTCCATGGGCAGAAGTCGGCTGCGATCTAAGCAAGACCGAGAAAAGACTGCCATGCATATTAATCATGAATCTCCATGAATCACAAGAGCAACTGCCAAAACCTCCGATGAAGGCAGCATCACTACAGTGAAGACTAAGTAGGTATATACGTAACATGAGGAAAACCTTCAGGAACGATAAGGTTCACAAAAAAAAGATAAGGTGTTAGTACATGTTGTTATATAGGTGTGTCCAAATCCTCAGGATCGATAAGGGTCACAGAAAAACGACAACGTTGGGAAGAGTGCACACTACAACACACAAGAGGTTTGCACGTCGCTCATGGCTTGAATCAATCACTTCACGATGTGACACATTGGATTCTTATTTCCCCAGATAGCGACAGCTATGGAGTTCTTACTTCAAATAACAATGAGCTGGCTGTGCGCGCTTTTGAGACAGGGTGCCGGTGCCGGGTGCTGGTGCTGGCTGTGGTGCTGGTGCTGGGTGCTGTGAGCTGGCTGTGTGCGTGATGGAGACAGGGTGCGGTGGTGGGTGCCGTGCTGGGTGCCGTTGCTGGGTGCTGGCGGAGACAGGGTGCCGGTGCCGGGCTGGGTCTGTGAACTGGTAGTGCGTGTGGTGGAGACCCGGTGCCGGTTACGGGTGCTGCGGTGCCGGTGGCGGGTGATAGTGCTGGGTGCTGTGAGGTGGCTGTGTGTGTGGTGGAGACAGGGGTGCTGGCTGTGCGCGTCATGGAGACTGGGTGCCGGTGCTGGGCGCTGGCGCTGGTGCTGTGAGCTGGCGTGCCGGTGCTGGGCGCTGGTCCTGGCTGTGCGCGTGGCGGGGACAGGGTGCCGGTGCTGGGCGCCGGTGCCAGGTTGCTGGTGCTTGTTGTGGTGGAGATTGGGCACCGGTGCCGGGTGCTGGTGCTGGCTGTGCGCATAGTGGGGACACGCCACACTGTACTGCGGCGCTATGTAAAAATAAGGTTCCTGTGTGTACTATGGAGCTGCTGCCAATGCAGGGCGCGGTCCAGAAAAATATTTTGCATGTTTTTGCTATCTGGGTCTATGCGGGTGTAATTTTCACTGGGGGATTCGCGACGAACTCGAAGGGCAGCGGCGAAGTCAAGGTATGGCTGCAAGGGGCGGAGTGGGAGGACCCGGATTTTGGGCACCCAAGATCGCTGCAGCTGACGCCTTGAAGGTGGCATACTACGCTTTTGGACACAAAACGAGACTTGTGGTTTCTGTCAGCTCAGATCTTTCTTCTGTTCCGTTAGCCAGAAAGTCTGCACGTCTCTTGCATTTGCATCACTATCCCAAGAGGCCTTGGGCAGCGTTCTAACAGCACCTAAGTCAGGCAGGTGTGTCCTTCGCCAAGCACAAGAGAAGTTTTTTAACCACCCACATTAAAGCTCTATTGCATCTATTGCTGCGGTGATCTTGACTTGAGGTTTCAGCGCACCTCTGTTGCACACTGACCTTCATCTCTCCGCCAACGTTTCACTTGCAGGTCCTTCAGCCATTGGCATCACTCGCGTGAATTGGTGGCCTTGTCAGAAATTGGCAAGTGATGGCAGCAATCATACAAGCTATTTATCAAAACCCTGAATCCCTTTAGACAGGTATATATATATATATCTACTTATTTCTGGTTGCAGCTAGAGCTGGCTCTGAGAAGTCCAGGTCCATCCTGTTGAAGAGACTCTCTTCAGTGCCCCCAGCCTGGGCCAACTTCAAGAGTCATTGGGAGCCTCCAGGTGCGACAATTCTTTCCGCCGAGCCTCTTAATTGTTTTGCACACATCACTCACATCACCTATAGATCACCCACACATTCCTTTGACGTGTCTTAGGGTCACTCGGAAGCAACGTGAAGCAATGACTTTTGAATGCTTTTGACATCTTTCGTTGTGCTGCAAGTTGAGCCCAAAGAAGCGAAAGTGGGTCTTGACAAAGAGCTGGAAACTAAGTGGGCTGGTTTGGCTGAGCCGATCGAGGGCCATATTGACATTGCAAAGTATTTGTTTGACAAAAGAAGCATCAAACAAGCTTGAACGCGGACAGCTAAATTTTCTCAGGCAGGAGGAAAGGAAAGGCATTGGCATGAACCCAGGACTCGACACATCTCGACTCCAACAGTCCCTGGTCCAACAATCCACCAACAGACTTGACTCACGGACTAGATCTGATTAGTCCATTGTGAGGAGAGCCGCGAGCACCGCGATTGCGTGCCATGGAAGGTGGACCTTGTGTCGAGCGCCAAGACCAACTTGCCGTGCATTTGCCAGAGGTATGGGAGGCATGGGAGGCATGAGCAGCTTGGGCATGGGCAGCATGGGCCTCACTCTAGGACTTTCCTTCGCAGGCGCAAGTGAGCTCGGTTCCAAAAACGACATGTCCGCTGCCGTCGCCGTCGTTTCGATGGGGGAGGTGGTGGCGCACTTGGCTCTCGCCTGGGGAGCAGATTGCCCATGCAAAAAGGTCCGCCGAGACGAGGTGTGAGATCGGAGCGTTTCTGCTGGTCCTTTCTGCCAGGTGAAAGAACAGCTGAAAGCGATTCGAGTGACGACAGCGAGCCTCCAGCTTCAAAGGGCTTATAGTAGCGATGGGAGCCCCTAGTAGCTTCTTGTTCCTAGTAGTAAGGCCAGGAGCCCCTAGTAGCGTCCTTGCTCCTAGTAGCGATGCCAGGAGCCCCTAGTAGCGTCCTTGCTCCTAGTAGTACGGCCAGGAGCCCCTAGTAGCTTGTTCCTAGGACGCTTCAAAGGGCTTATAATTGCTTTATAGTTCGTAGGACAACAGGACGTAGAAAGAGACATGCACACAGTGAATTGAAAAGAATAGACTGACAGAGGAAGCATTAGAAGCCCAAGTTACCCAACGAGCATTAGAATCTAGAACTTACATTGATATCTTAGCGGCATTGTGACATTAGCACAAGGCTCAGCAAGGACGAAGCAAAAATGAGACGGCATGTGGGAACGGCATGACGGTATGCAGGGTTACTTGCACCGACGCGCTCAGCCCATGATTGCACAATTCCTTTCTCACCCTGGCACGGAGGAGAATTTTGCTCAAACAGCATAGGATCTGGTAGTTTTGCAGCTCTGAAGGACGTCCAAATGGCTGGAGACCGAAAGGATTTGTCTCTGAATTGTGCAAGGGGGTGGAAGCTGAGGCACAAGCAGCTGTGCAGGCCATGAAGCAACAGCGACGCCAGATCGCAAGAGAGGCCTATGGTCCTTTGGGTCAGAAGTTCATGAAGTATCAAGAGTTGTTTCCCACAAGAAGACGTCCTTTGCGTGGAACCCTCCAGCAACTCATGGATCAACATGGATCAACCATGATCAACCCCTCTTAGGTTGGAGGCCATCGCTAGTAGGTTGGAGGCCATTCCTATTGGGTTGGAGGCCATCGTTAGTAGTTTTTCCTCTTTTTTTTTACATGGTTTCTTCTTTATACATGTAAAGTCGACCCCTCTTTGAGGCTCGTCGCATCAGAGCCACAAAGCTGTTCGCGGAGCAACAGAGGCGAATGGACGGACTTATCGCAGAAACGGATTTGCCTTTGACAACTGCTTGGCAACTTGGAACGGAGGCCATGGTGGGTACCCTTACGGTCCAGCACCCAGAGCTCTAACAAATGCTTATGTGACTGGCTATGTGAAATAGACTTGCTCGCGCTTCTCCCTTTCGCAGCTTAGGGTCACATCTGAAACAGGAGAGTGTAGTACCGTAATTAGTTCACTGAAGTGTTTCACCGATGGACTGTAGCTTGTGACAAAATGAACCAAAACGTGCAACCGAGGCCACCTGTCGATCTCAGCGCAAAACAGGTGGACTTCCTCCCAAAGCAGGTGGAGACCTACGGCGGTCGTGGGTGTTGATCACCAAGCCCCTGATTGCAGGGATAGCCTGGGATCCTTAAGTCTCAGGATGAAATATGCCTGTGTTATTTGTTTGCATGTGCATTCTTTTTGTAAATCCAAAAGGTTGGCGTTCTTCTTCTTCTTCTTCTTCTTCTTCTTCTTTGAATGTGATCCTTACTGAATCGCAGTGTTTTGATTTGACCACAACATCGAGCTTTCACCGTGCAGGTCAACTTGTGCTGGCGTGTTGTCGTCGTTGCCTTTTCCGTTGCTGCTTCTGCGCTACAACAGCCTTACTTAATAGCGTTTCTCTTGGACATGCGAGCCACGCGGTGCAAACATGGCGTGCGAAGTCGCTACGATGGTTTGGTTGGTGTTCTGGCGACCGGTCCAAGGGAGGCGTCATTGCGACACTGAATTATCAGTTTTCGTTGTGCAGAGTGTGTCTACATGCCTACTCCGCTCCACACGAAGCAGTCTTCGCAGGGCCGAAATCAGTCTCGAGAAGCGGTCGGGGGGGTTGGACGCTGGCTTCGAAGTCGTCCGCGAGGTGTCGAATGTGGACTGCCACCAGATCTTGGGAGCTCCTCGCGGGGCTTCTGCTGATGAACTCAAGGAGAAGTATGGCAAAGCATAGCGAAGCAATATCAGGGTTATTAGAGCTTTCGATTTGTTTTAGTTTAAGATAAAAATATATAAAAAGGATTAAAGGGGCCCTGTTCCTGAGAAGCCGTGCTATTGAAATGAGAGTTTTGTGGCCTGGTATTCATGGGATAGAACACCTTGTCAGTGATGCGAGTTCCGTTGTGAACGTGCAGGAAGCATTCTTGGCAAGAGCGAGGGAACAACTTCAGACCAAGCAATACGATGGGTCCGCCCGTCAAGTTTGTGACCTTATTGCGATCGAGAACTCTACTGCTGCCCAGGAGCAATTTTGTCGTCGCAAGGATGTGCTATGAGTTCTTGGCTGGAGCCCAAACTGACTGGGTAAGCTTGGGAGAAATATGGAGAAATGTCATGCAACTCAGAATCGTGCTGTTTTGGCGAATATCGAGAATCCAGCGACTGCTTTGATCAGGCCTCTCCTCACAAACCTGAAGAAAGAGTCGCGGCCCCTTCAGCCGCGCAGGTAGAGAGTGGCAGAGCAGTAGCTAAGATGCCTTTGCAGAGTCAGACCTAAAGAACAGCCCTGGTATTCCAGGCGGAAGTGGATACAGTAGATGTACTTGCAGAGCTGCAGAAGCACTCATTGTTAGGTGCTTGGCCACTCATCCCTTGTTGCTGTGAAGTGATCAATCATATTGTCACAGTTCAAGATTCTTGTGACAGAACGCTTTGTGTCAACTGAAAATACTGAAGGTTTTCGCAACATTCCAGATTCTTCGGCACTTTCATGCCAAAGGCAGTCTGGGCAGTGTTGGTGTACTGCCCACAAATCGCTTTCGGGTCGACCCTTACACAACTCTAAAATACTCTGGATCAATGAGTTGGCGAAAAACGACTGCAAGTGTTTCTTTGAATCGGTTTCAACAAGTCTGTTTGTCCACACTTATCCAGGTGACAACCGAATCTTCGGCATCCAAATGCCCAACAGCCACCTTGCATGAGCCTCAGTGCACAAGCCTAACAGTTGCATCTCCTGTGTGATCCTGTTGCACAAGATCCAGGTCCATGGCATGAGTGCTTGGACCTTGCTGTAAAAGCATCATATTGTAAAGGAGAGTTCGCAAAGCGCAGGTTCACTCGCCCAAAAGACAACTTCTTGGACCACAAGTAGCTAGACCGAAAGCTTGAAGGGATTTCAAGGGGTTCAGAGAAGCGACGATGGCCTCCAACCTAATAGCGATGGCCTCCAACCTAATAGCGTCCTTGCTCCGTTCGTAGCGATGCCAGGAGCCCCTAGTAGCTTCTTGTTCCTAGTAGTAAGGCCAGGAGCTCCGTTCGTAACGTCCGATCGCTCCTAATTACGACAGATTCATCAACCCTTTTGGGCCAGTGCGAGAGACCATTGCAGTCTTTGCAACCGCCTTTTGATCCAAAAAGGGACAGGATCTGACTGCCGGAAGGCGGTCTGGGCAACCTCTTGCCACACGCAAAGCATAGCAAAGTATATCGATGATTGGGAATTTAAACCCATGAACATGGCTGCAGGATTCCGAGAAACACTCTGGAAGTCTAGACGTCTAAAATGTGTTTGTTTCTTTGGGTCCAAATGTGCCTGATGTCATCCCTCCATATCCCTCCCTCCATTTCCCAATCAAGATCACGAGGTCCTTCGGACCCTTTTGCCTAATTCAATTGCGTGAAACCCTTTCCAAGAACCTCAGCTGGGAGTGCCCACTTTCCAGAAGAGGGGCCATAAGATGCCATGAGTTAATGAGATTTGATGAGGGCTCATCCCAGCTGAAAGTCTAGCTAGCTTTGACCTCGGATATTCACGATGAATATTTTTCCCTGCAGACGCCGCGGAGTAAAGTGCTGACTCAAAGTTGCTGCACTGCTCACGTGGGACTTGCATTGCTTGAGATCTAGGTTTCACAAAGCTTTTCTCTGTGGTCGTATTACAAATTCGGTCATGGACAGAAGCTGGGAGGGTCAAGGTCTAGAAGATGTGGTTTTGCATGATCTTATTCACATACTAAACGAATACATACTAACCCGACATGCTGCTTGCATGTGCCTAGCCTGCTGACGCTGCTTGATGTTTGTGATGCGAAGCAGACCAAAGCCTCTACGCTTGACCCCAGATTTCAGGTCCCGTCACGCCCCACTTTGGAGGGCCAGGGAGGCCCTCAAGACCTGCGCCTGCTGGGAGCTCTTTTGTTTACATTGACCATCATTGGTAGTCTATAGTCTTTTCCGTGGCCATCAATTCCAGCCCAAGCGGTTCCATTTTGTGGGTTTCAAGTTTCAATCATTTACAATACAATGACATACAATAACTACAGATCAATACATCACAACATGGTTTGGATGAGGCCATGATCCAACAGATCCGCACAGCGGTCCCTAAGTGGCCAAAAATGCCCGCAGTTCCGTGCTGTGATCGGAGATGGACCGAAGTTGTCCGAGTTCGGAGAGCGCCGCAGCGCCACGTGCACACGTGCAGCTGGGGCACCAGACATGATGAAGATCATGTGGAGAGCAGCTGCACAGACTGGACCAGAAGCTCCAACCTTGCACAGCGAAGTCAAAATTTGGATTTGCTGGCTTGGAGCCTTGGAGCACTTGCTTTTGCCTTCAGGTATTGCCTGACATCTTCTGACATGCTAGATGAGCTCACATCTTCTTGCTAGCCAGCACTGGCTCCAAAAATCCATCCAAGCTCACGCTGAATCAAGCATACTGTCAACAGTTCAACACACTGTCATCAGATGCGGACTTATGCGAAGACACCTGTGAAGCCTTGCCGTTTCTGAAGATGCTGGCTATCGAGAGCATCCCATCCAAGGCCTCGGGACCCCCCCTTCAGTGGGTGTGTTTGACATGGAGCTTTTGATAGCTTTTTTTACTTCGCACTTCTCAGGTAGCTCTTGCACCTCATGTGGCTCAAAGCTCAGATTTTGATGCCCAAGGCTTTGCGCTTCGATCTTTGAGCTGCTAAGTTGTTTCTCAGGTAGCTCTTTGCACGTTGTTTGTTACGACGTGGCAATTTTTTCGACAAAAGCGCGCCTCCTGTCCACCTGTTCCTGGCTACTGGCTGCTTGGGACCGCCAAATAAAAATTGGCACACTGAGTCATGGGACAGACTGAGACTCATCATGTTCCAGGAACTTGCCGCGCTTCCTGCGCGCAGCCTTGTCCAACAGGCTATATATATATATATATTCACAAATTGTTTCTTAGCATGCTTCGGTTTGAGAGACCTTTCAGTCAGGAAGCCAGCCTCATACATTTTTTCATATTGGAATCGTTCAAAGTCCATTCTGGCAGGCACCTCGACATGTTCGTGGAGGACCATAAAGAGCTTGGCTGGCAACTTACAACATGAGCTGCTGATGCTTGTGTTCGAATTGTTCACAAATGGTGCGCTTGGAGGTGACACAATTGTTTACAAATTCCCTTTTAAGTGCCCAGCTCAGATGCTCCTGCCTGGGGGATTGTTTGGGTCATGCCTTCCGTTGTGTGGGTTTTCAGCGGTGCGATGGGTTGAGGCCAGAGGTGATAGACACCACAAGCCCCAGGACAGAAGCACCCAATTGCAATTTGTGTCGATTACAAGGAAGATGTCAGTGTCATTTTGTAGTGCCTTCTAGCAGGAATATTGAGCACATGCTCAAGGGCAATTTCGCGAATTTCGTGAAAGGCAAGAAGTGCACTGTAGCCTTCCAAAGGCAAGTGTTGTGATTCTTCAAAGCACCTTCCAGGATGGTGGTTCCGTGCTCCTCTCACTCAGCTGCTCGAGTCCCTTGTGGCCTTGTGGCTGAGTCCGTGGAAACCGGGACGACCCAAGGCTTGGCGATGGGATTTTCAATGCAGACGGAGCGTTGGAAGCTCAGGGCACCCAGCTACGGCCGTTGGGACGACCCGGGACGCCATGGACTTTCATGAGCTTTCTACTTGTACAAGATAAACCGCCAGTGTTCGCTTGCCCATCGTCAAGCTCATTTATGCGCAAAGGTGAAGGAAAGATGAGTAGAGTAGAAGACAAGTTGACATGCTTTCAAGGAATCCCACAAGAACGAAGAACAGAGCCAAGATCAACAAGCAAAAACACGCATATTATATCATATTATAGCAGAATCAAATTCTTCCTGAGAAACTGCAGAGATACACCAAATTGTTTGCAGCAGAGCCGTACATAGTATAGTCAAAGATGATCAAAGATGCACATGTTGCTCGCTTCTCCGCTCTCCTACGCACTTGATGCATGTGCTGATGCCATGTTGACTGTGGAGCTCGTGGTGATGTAGTATGGCCCACGTCACAAATCTTCATCTGGACATCGAGCCAGCATCAGGTGGAGGAATATGGCGTCGCAGGCCTGCGCGCGCACAAAGTCAAGTAGGACTCAAGACTTGTGTCAAGGAGGAGCTCATCTCCTCGTTAAGCCAAAAACAATCAAAAACAGCTCACTTTAATGTTGATTTCAAGTCTTTTCAACTTTTCAACAAGCTTTGCATCTTAGCTTCGCTGATCGATTCCAGCCTTTTCCAAAAAGGGTTTCGCCACCTGAGGATGCTACATGGCTCCGGCTCACCGGCTGCTTCAGCCATGGGTGTCGGCGGTCGGAAGGAATGGCTGAGGACATGCCACGGCGGCTAGACTCTAGACGACTGCAAGACCGACGACATTTGACAATAGATTCGAAGTCAATCAACATTATTGTCCCATGAGTTTCGTGTCAGCTTGTCTCTGTTTTTTGTGACATAACCAAATTCCGATAGGCTATATAGATCACTGTACCAGAGCAATAAGGGTAATGTCACCGCGTGGCTGTCGATGATTGTTTCTCAAACGTCCATCGTTTTCTTGATCATTATGATGTATAGACCCAGAATCATAAAGTGAAGCCATGTTGCCAACACCGAGAAACAAATCGAACCAACCCACCCAAAGTCCCCAAAGTGCATTGAATCATATTGAACATCAATTATCAACATTTACACATATTTTACTGAATAGTATTGATACAATTGATCATATATATATATATACGATATGAACTTACTACTAAACAGAAAAGTATATATAAGAATAACACATGTCATGCAAGGATTGTGTTGACTTCAGCCTGCAGGAAGCACCTCGTTGTGGTGTCGGAGGGCTCAGGAAGCTCGGCTCTCCTCCGCTCAGCCTCGGAGCCAAAGAACCTCCGCCGCTGGACCAACAAAGACGGTCGTCGTAGTCATGGGATCACAGTGTTCCAAGATCGCCTTGCAGCTTTTCCTTAGTTATGAGGGACATTTCAAGACAATGATAGCATCAAGTAGAACCTGTTGTGACGCCTGTGGAAGAGTCAGGCATTTGTATGTAGATGCAAGAATATCTACACACCACCCAGCTTGAATTGGATGTAGTGTGAGAAAGCCATGTGACCTTAGAGTGTTAAGTTTTGTGTGACCACATCAGGTCTTTCATGTCTCAGGTGAGTCGTCAAGTTCACTTGCACACTTGCCTCAGCGACTTGGAACGCAGATTCGACGAAGCAGCCGTCGGTCGAGCGTCAAGTCATACTGTATCAAGCCCATCAAACGCGCTGAAACTGGCGTTCGGATTGGTTCTTCGCCCTTGAAACTCCAGTGCTGAAACTTCAGGATTTCGAACTTGCCTCGATCATCGACGCGGATGACTTTGAAGTCTGGCTCAAGGCACATTTGATGAAGCGGTCATGCCAGCGTTCTTTTGTGGCTGAGCTGTCTCCATTTCGTACGTAGTTTGAAAAGCCTTTCCCCATGTTGCCTTCTAAGGCTCACTTTGGCTTCGCACAGCAGCGTTCAGCTTGATGAACTTCCTCAACCTGGTGAAGGTCCTGGGACATGGTGGTGGGCTGCATGCTGAATGTAGCTAATTTCAGAAGAACTTTGTGTGAATGAGATGATCCCAACATTTCAGGTTGAATTTGTTTGTTGGCATCTCAAGTTTTTTCTGCCAAGTTAGGATTCAGCTGCTGCGGTTGGTCAAGTAAATGTGTGTATTCGTACGTAATCTCCGATTCCACGGACAGACAGGTTCTGATGCAGAAAGCGAGAGAAGCACTAGAGCTGGCAGCAAAGATACGGCTGGCGCAACAGGAGAGGAATTGTTGGCAGAATCATGTCCAAGCCATGGAATATCATGGTCATCAGGGTATGTGGATGTCCTTCCGGAATCATGTTTTGATGTCAAGCTTAGTATGGCACTTTGACAGCAATTGGTTATGGAACACGTGCCCATATAAATTGGTAACGCAAGCGCAGCCAGTGTGTTTGTTGATGCCACCGTTACAACAAAAGATATAGTATATAAGTCATGCGCATTTGCTGGTGGATGCGGTGTTCTTGCAGGCAATACTCCCTTCGGACAAAACACCGGGGAGTTGGAGAAGTTTGCAGCTGAGAAGCGTAAGAGCCAGGCGAGGCCTTCAGCTTGATATTTGTTAGATGTACGTTGATTTATGCTATAAAGATCAGATAACCTGAGATATTGTTACTAGTAAAAAGAAGCTACTAGGGGCTCCTGGCATCGCTACTAGGAGCAAGGACACTACTAGGTGCTCCTGGCCGTACTACTAGGAGCAAGTAGCTACTAGTAACAAAAACGGTACTAGGGGCAAACTTGAGCTTTGGAGGTTGGCCCCAAGAAGGGTGCGCGAGCGCAGTGGGCCAGTGCCTTGGAAAGTGCGCTGGAGGCCGGTGGATGTACACGCAAAAGTGCGCAGTTTGACAGAGCCAGTTGCTCTTCCGATTGGACCAGGAAGCTGATGTTGATATTAAAGGAAGCTGATGTTTCAGGAAGCTGATGTTCAGTTGCTCTTCCGATTGGACCTCCCCTTGATGGTGAAGGCAAGATGCAGAAAGAGAGTGAGGGAGAGATCTCGACTTCTCGACTGCGATGTGCACATGCACGATGTTCCCAGGCAGTTGCAGACGGTGAAGTCACATCACTCAAAGAAGTGGGTCCTCCAAAATGGGATATGCTGAAGGCAGCGCTCCAGAGACTCGCAGATGTTGCGGCGTTGCATGTGTTTCATTTTGTTCAATCCCTCGCGCTTCCTTTCGATTCCTGAAGCTGACAGGCAAATTCCTCCAAGTTGCTGAAGGACAGGTAGTGTAGTCAAATGGATGGTGGCATAATGTTTATGCAGAAACTCAATCTGACCCGGCCTAATCGTCCGATGACATTCCCTCACATAGGATTTGAAGAAAAGCAAGTCCTTTCGTCCTGGGCAGATGGAATCATTGCAGGCGAGTCTTTTTGATGTGGGACAGCTCGAGCTGCAATGTATTCACGCATGTCGTTGCAAGGTTGTGCTCGACCTTTATAGCTCACTGGAGCCTGGTCTAACCTCAGAACTTGATAGAACTTGTGCACTTGGGAAGCAGATGTAAGCACGTGGAACCAAGGAAGAGGAAGGCTGCATGCAAGGATTTGATGCCTTGTGCAGATCCTTTGCCTTCCTTTTTGGAAGCTTGGAGCAGGCACAGAGCACGGAATTCAATCGCATCGAAATCACAGGATCATTCATGATAAACATCGCGGAAAGGTGGAGAAGGTGCTTGACGTGAACCGCAACGGCACATTGAGCACCACGGAGTTTTCGTCCATCTCTCAAGTCCTGTCGGAAAGATCGGTCGGAGGATGTCGTAGGTAGACTCCTTTGCCAAATCCGAATGTTCTTCAACTTGGACATTGACTCTGCAGACTCAGATATGTTTTGACTCTACAGGATGGCAATGTCCCTTGCGGGTTTGGACTTAAGTGCGATTTGCGGACTTGATGAGCGCGAAATCTTCTTGGCTGTTGAAGCCAAGCTGCAAGCAGACTCCGACACCACTTGATCGAACGAAATATGAACTACAAGGGGGAGCGAAAGAAGACAAGAATGTGGTCACTTCCCCAAACAGGCCAGACTCTGCCAGACCTTCTTTCTGATAAAACAGGCGGTCATAGACGATGTTTCCTTCTTGATTTGTTTTTAAGGATTCTAACCACACAGGCCTCTTGGAAGGCAAAGCCAGAAAGAAGCTTCGTCCATGCTACATGCGCACTGATGTAAGGGGTGTTAGTGCCAGTGCTCCCTGCTTCTGTCTTCAGCTCATTCTGAGGCTCTATTAGCATAGAAGAGCTGATTCGCTTGTGCAGCAGCAAGCCTGAGCCAGAGAGTTCAAAGAAGGTTGGCGATAGAAGTTCTCAACTTACTTGGCTGCGTCGAAATTGTGCCAGACCCCCCAAACCAACATGAGTATTTATCCAAACTCCTTTTGTGTTGGGGACTTCAGTCTTACCAGTATTTGCAGGGCAAGATGGACAGAGCTCAGAAACAGCGGGAAGCCAAGGCGGCAGTTGCTTGCATTGAGGTAGTGGGAGGTGGGCATTGTAGGAAGAAATTAGTAATTACATCCCGATCGAAATTTTCTCTAGGGAATCAGGTAACCCAGGTACTGAAACGGACAATTTTTAATACAGTAACAATTTCTCGCTATAGAATGGAACTACTGAGGGTTCCAGATTCTATGACAAGCAGCCTTGTAGCTACATTTGTCCGTGAGCTTGCGCTACTGGACCCGAGATGTCAGATTGTCTAGAGATGTCTTGGCTTCTTATAACTGTACGTGAGCTTCTTCATGGTCAAATGGCCGGGGTGATTTTATACTGACTGATGTATTCTTGCTTTAGCCTTGATGGAAGTTGAACCAAGAAAGCCTAAAAAGACTAGGCCTGTTGTGGCTTAAAGTAACACGTTCTATGAGGTCAAAGAAGGTGCTACTCGTTTGGAGCCAGGTCTAGCAAGAAGTACAAACATTGCTCGTTTCAGCTCTTTGCCATGCTGACGATTTTCTTGGTTTAGCCTTGATGCTCAATGAAGACTTTAATTAATGGATGTTGATGAAAACAACAAAAATATTTGCATGATCCTGGATGGGCGTAGACAAGGCAAGCAACACACAGATCTCAAACCCAAGGACGTGGAACAAACACTTCTGATTTTTCAGTTGAGATTAGCTTTCACTGTCGAGATGGGTGTACAGTCGAGGAGTCGCGATATGTTGAGATCAGGTCTTTGCATTTCTTTGGTAAGTCAGATCTGAAATGAGTTGAAGTTTCTGTGGGTTGATGAATCAAACGATGCATATCACAACATACCAGCACCAATCCAAAGCAGAGAAAGATGAGCCTCACTCTTTTTGCTTGGATTTCTTTGCATCAAGCTTGCAAGTTGTCGGATGTGGACACGAAGGATCGGAAACGGTAATCGGAAACATATTTTTCACTGTAGAATCAGAGGCTTTTTGATATCTTGATGTTATGTTTTCTTGTCGGAGATGGGGGGTGTGATTCTTAAGTTATCGGACTTTTTTCCGATCAATCTCCGTTATGTTCCCATTCCGACTAAGGGGGTTACATTTTATAGTGATGTCGTTCTTCCATTGAGATTTTATAAGGATTTATGCGTCCTGGAGCTGGGGGTAGCCGTTTTTTACTTTGAATAAATGTACCTCAGTGAATCATATGACGTTCAAAGGGGATGTAATTAGGCATGATTGGAGCTACAAAATTGGGGGGGTCTTGGGGTTCATCTTCCAAAAGGCAAGGAAGTGTTCATCAATATGCATCCAATGTTCCCCACCAGGGTCTTTCTGGAGTCGATGAAACTGATGAGAGGCATTGGGTCAGATGAGACGTGAGGAGACATGATGAGACCAAGGCTCAGAAGGCTAAGAAGAAGATTCCGATGTCTACCAGTGCAATCATTGAGCAAGCTGGCCTGAAGGCGACTTACTGTGGGATATCATTTGCTGCCCTTGACCATTATCGAAAGCGAACGGAGCGTTTGACTGAGGATCTTTTATTGTCCGGAACCGGAACACATGTTTCGTCACACTGACACAGGTCGTGCAAGAGAAGGAAGTCGAAGGTCACTCGGATGATTTGCCGACCTGTGAGCGTTGTACCTCATGTGGTGAACTTTGGCGTTGGCACCAGCTCCGAGGTGTGCGGTTCCAAGCCATGGTCGTCCCCAAGGAAACGACCGGCTTGGAGCTGAGTCTTGTGGACAGGCTCAGAGAATCCCAAAGACTCCAGGACCTGGAGTCAACCTGACAGAGCTATTTGTTGATTCATACTCTCCTGAAATTGAAGCGATGTTCAACATGTTCCAATATTTTCCAATATTTTCCCAACGATTGCTTGGGACACTGGCAGACTCAGGTTTTGCACAAACAGTGTCCGCTTCCAGCGCAGGCACCAATGCACCATAAACCATTCCACCTGTCAGACCAGCTTGGGTTTGCACTTAGGCATGGATGCGTCGATAGACGTGCACGATGAAGAGGCCAGGAAAGTGCAAGATAATTACATCAGAGCCACATTGAAACTCATCACGGGCAGGAAATTGACGAAGTGCTTGAAGTGCTGGCCAAGGAGGTTCTTGATTGGTTTTCTTGATTGTTTGATTTGGTGATTCAGCGAGCTGGCTATGGTGGAGGAGATACATCGGGCACAGGCGAAATGGATTTCCATCTCCAGGTGGCTGGCTTCTGTGCTAGGCGCGATCCACATGACACGCGCCATGATTTCCATCCGCAGAGTGCCAGGAGCTGCAAGTCTGGCTGATCCGGGAGAGAGAGCCAAAACATGGGAAGATGAAAGGCAACAAGCACTTGGGCTCAACAGTACTTGACATTTATCCTCGAATTACACGGATTGAAAGTCATGTTGCTTTCAGTCACTGAGGCGTATCAAGCTGTGAGTGAGGCCGTTTTTGTAGAGCTTGATCATCACTGACCGGCTTTGCTACAACAATTGGCAGGTGCCGATGGTTCCCATGGCAGCAGCTCTTCCCTTTGTACATAAAGCTCAGGCATGGAACTTGAACATGTGAAACTTGTCAATCTTGAATTCGGCAATGCCTGAGGCCGACCCTTCGCCAGATCCCGGAGGAAGCAAGGCGATTCACAATGCCTTTGCCTCAGATCCTTACCTTTGACTGCAATTTTTCACCAGGAATCCGGAGACTCAGAGCTGCTCACGCTGATGCAGGTGAGCAAACAGAAAACTGCTTGGCATTGACGTTGGTCCAGTCAGCTACCTGCACTACTTGAACAGTGTGCTGTGTGTGCGAAGGCTGGAGTCCACTTGGATGACGAACTGGAGAGGCTTTTTCTTGAAGAAGCCAATGAACTTGAGGGCGAACCTTACTGGCAGACCAGTTTTTGAGGGGTCCATTGAAACCATTGAGGGGTCCCCGTTCGATCCATGAATCGAGAAGACGCAAAAATGACATTTACAGCCAGCAAGAGTGCTGGAAAGTCACAATCTAGACATGGGTGCCAAGGAAAAGAAGCTTTTGGACAAAGCTGGTACTCGAAAGTTCTTCGAGGATCTGATGCTAGCAGACTTCAAGTCCCATGCTCGAAATTGATTTGCGTCGTTTTCAAAATTATCGTCATTTACTTTATACAAGGGCGTTTCATCCAAGAGTGGGATTTGGGGTTTTCCTTGGAAAACAATACGGGACGTCCAAAAAACGATACCTAGAACGATACCTCTATTGCTAGTTACATGCATTAGTTCCTTGAATTTGTGTTGAGTTCATTTTGGTATGTCGTCCTGCTACAGCAACTCTTCTGAGCATTTGTGCTCAAGGGTCGGAAGTGCAAGTGTCACAGGCAATTAGGGATTGTGACTTGTGATTGCTTGTGTTTGGAGGGCTGTGTCCTGGCTCTTGGCTGGCCCCAGTCTATGAGGAAAGGCTAGGCTCCGGAACAAGGTACACGCCTTTGTTCGCCTGTCTTGGCTTGGAAAGGGGTTGTTTTCTCTTTGGTGTAGCCTGAGCGCAGAGCGTGTGCTTGCAAGCAGCTTGCAAAAATCAACATCATAAAGCGATACCCCAATGATACATGAGCGAGTGCAATTGGAAGCTCCTTAGACAGTGCCCCACGGGCAAGTCTGCAATGGTGCAGGCAGGCTTGTGTCTTCTAGTGAAAGAGATCAGATCAGCAAACGAGCGGCAGAAGCCAGCAATGCTGGAGCAGCCCTCCGTGCTGTTGTCCCTCCTCACTTCACGGAGCTTGTCACACCTCCAGTGTTTGCAGAGGATGCTCTCAGATCATGAATGATCACGAACAAGGGTTCCTTTGTGTTGTCTGTGCGCTTGTGTTTGTGTTTTGTTTGTTAGGATCCGTGACGTTCATTGTTGGTGGCAAGACCCCACCATGCGAAACATGTAAAGCCTGCAAAGCGACACACACAATGTTCCTTCTACCAAGCATTGTAAAGCGACACGGGACGTCCTAACTTTGAATGAGCACAGTTTAAGCTCGTAACTTCGAAAACAGTTGTTCTTCAATTCCGACAGATGTTAGACTTGTTGACAACTCCGTGGGCTACATCGTTCAGATCTCAAATTTTGCGAGGTGGCACAAAGAATTGAGAATGGTGATTCTGGACAGGCCTGGTCTCTCTTTGTGCTGCACGTTTGTTGACATGGATATGGCATGAAAATAGTGTGTCAATTGTGTTATTATATATATACTACTTATTAAATCTTATTGTACTATCAATTATGATCAATCGAGCGATGCCAGGTTGTATGACGACACCTTGACCGTTCAAAAGGCACGCAAAAGGAAATGAAAACTCCCATGACTCATGACCATTGGCTGGTGGATGGCTGGCCGCGTTTGGTCATTCCTCACCGCTGAGGAAGAGGAAGGTTTCAGCAAAGGCTTGACGATTCGCTCCCTTAAGGCAGGGAATTTTTGACCGACTGATCATTGTCGGGTAGCAGACTCTCAGATGACAGGTGGTTCTCCATCGAATGCTTCGTGATCGTACGGAGGGCTGGATTGACTCCTTCAGGCTTGATAGAGGTATGATTAGATGCATGGAGATTCAAGTAAAGACGACCCAACTTGTAAACTTGTATATAGATCTCATTTGTAGCTTTGCTTTTTCCTCCACTTGCATGGTGCGATCAGGCTCAACATCGAGCGGCAATTGAAAAAGGGCAACAAAGCTGCGGGGAACTCAAAGTAGAGGTTATTGCAAGGGGTATGCAGGAAGCTAGAGCCCGGTCTTCTCTTCCAAATAGGAGCATGCTAACAGGAAGTTCAACTATTCGGCATGTTGAACCAGCTTCTCATATCGGAAAGGGGCACCGGTGAGTTCACTTTACCTGACATTCTCCTTTGCAGGGCTCCACGTCCCGCATGGCCTTTCCACAATTCCAAGCGCAAGCTGAGGCAACTCGAGTGGCTCGAGCACTAGGTATTTGACTCGACGTGTCGTGTAGATCAACTTCGCTTGGAGGGCAAAGCCGATTTCTTTGACTCCAGATTAAAGCAATACATTTGCATGCCGTGGTGTTAAAGTGAATATCCCAAAGGGTGTTCACCTTCGGCAAAATGCCACCATCACAATCCTCCTGGATGCAACTTTTTATACATCTCAAGAGAGCGTTGCTGCTCGGGATCGGGCTCACAAAGTGAGACAAGAGATTGCAAAAGCCACACCAAAGTGAACTGTCTACACGGCGGAAATTAAAAATCTATCAGGACCCCTCTTGGCAATATTGTAACCATATTCAAGCAGTGAATGCAAAACGAAGCCACGTTGAAAGCTTACATAACCTTACACACTTTCTGACTGTCACGCACTATGAGTCGATCCTTGTGAACACCATGACTCCAGGCTTTGGCACATGCAGCGCAAGACTGCAAGTCGTATGTTCACTGCCTGGAACTCAGGGAGCGGCCGAATGCAAGGGTGTCCTCCTGAAGGTGCACGATGATCTGAAAAGTCGGGAAGGCTTTGAAGAGACAGCTGAGCTGTGAGCAGCCCTACTGTGAATGTGGCGGAAGTTGCTACTTGTATGCTGCTATTTCTTAAATTTGCAAGTCATAACCTTCTATGGCACGGCACCAACACAATATAAGGCTCAACTCATCTCAGACAGTCAAATGAATGCGTGTCTCGCAACCCTTGCCATGTGCAACAGCTGGACTTTGACGTGTTGACAAAATGATCGCAACAATCGCAAATCTTATGTTGCTGCTTTGTTTTGCACTTGCCAGGCTTCATGCCAGCTGGGTAGAGAATCTGCAGAACGGCACACACAAGTTTAAGAGTGTGTGATCAGATCGATTGACATGCCTTAATAGTTTAACAGTTTAACATTTGGATCAGCTGGCGATAAATGCTGTTGTGTTTGCCTCACGAAAAACCATACCAGGCCCATTCCCATTGGTCAACCCGTCAACTTATGATTGGTGTTATGGCTGGGTTGTGCATTGCAAGAGAGATATAGTATGATATAGTATGATTTTCTTTAAGCTAGGTAGGTCAACCGCTCGATGGGGCAGGAGATTTGGGCGAAATATGGCGAGTTACAGAAAGTTTGTGACCTGTAATCATTTGATGCCTACTATGTCTAGTGCCTTTTTTGGCTCCGGGGTTGGATTGAACACATGTGAGCCTGTGCTAGTTGGTGAAATTCCAACTACCTAAGCCGCAATGGAATTGATGAGGCCCAACGCTTCAAAGACCACATTTGGCGTGTGGCCGCTTCCATAGCGATCCAAGGAATCCAACAGTTGCTTGCTGTGAGCAGGGTTCTTTGGTCTGTTGCTAAGGTGGAGAAGAATTCGATCAAGGTGCAGAGGCGAATCTCAAGATGTCAAGCTCGATAGACTGGCCAAGAGCAAGGATTGGATGCCACTAGCGCACCTGTCAGTCTTTTGGGGAACGCCGCAGACACGCAAGAGAACGCAGCATTCTTAGTGTGTTTTCCTCGCCAAACGCGACATGACTCTGGCAAGCAGCTAGGTGGATGTCTTCCGACTGATGAATCGTGGGGCTCCCAATTCGCAGCTACAACTGGATCTTCTGGGAGCACGAAGGACGATGGCTCCCTGAATTCTGAAATCATGGCTCTTGTATGTTCTTGTGGCGCGTGATTCGGCTAAGCAGCCGATTGCTTGGACATATTTCGAGGTTTCACTTTGGATACGATTGGGGAGATCGGATTTGGCACGGACATTGGATCATTGGATGTGGTATGCTCAGTGCCGTTGATGGTGCATTGCCGATGTTGTATTTGACATCATGCTGCTGACAGGATCCAAGTTCGCCCTTTTTGGCTTCATTTGACCATGCCCAAAAGGCGTGGTCAAGAACATACTATAGAACAAACATGGACGAAAAGTGCTGCCAATGCAAGCAAGGGGACACACAACACAAGTGTGTTGGGACGAAGACACTTGAGGCCTCGTTCTATCGTTTCGTCTTACCTGGACCAATTTGGCGTTTGCTGAGGCTGGGATCGAAAATCGTTTCACAGAAACCATGAAAAGCGGGGAGTTGAATCAAACGGCTCGACTCGACATTCCAACACATGCCAGAGACCAGAGAGCATACGCAATACGGTAATTACAAACGAAGTCACAATATGAACATATATGCAAACTTTGAGTGACTTGCCAGACTACTCGGCGTGGGGTCTGAGCGCGGTAGTACATTGCACTTTCGCTTGCTCGACGACTACAGCCGGGAGGCGCCACGGAATCACTCACGAACCTGCCAAAATTGCAGGATCCTGGAAGAATTTCAGGTCGCTCGAGATCTGTCTGCTTCGCTCGAGATCTCTGGTGGCTTTGCCGGGGCGAGCTTTGTGGGGCTCTTCCTTCAGGCTGGGCGCAAGCGAGCGAGCAATGGGAGTTGACACCAGACGCGACCGCTCAGGATGCTGCGAGCAAAGGCGAAGACATCTCTGAAGACTTCTTGAGGACAGTGCAGACTCTGTTTACACTTTGCATTTGTCGTTGGCTTTGAAGACATCAGACTCCAACGGTGTTTTTGCATCTTCCCTCCAAAGAAAGCTACTGCAGGGACCTGGTTCTGAATTTCTTGATAGCTGGCAGAGACACCACTGCCCAGGTGCTGCGCTAGCTTCTTGCTGCAAACTATGTCAGCTGTTGTATATATGACTCTGTCTGCTGGGCAAACTGTTTTCAAACTGCATTTATATAATGGTTCAAGACCTGCTTTGGCTCCACTGGCAACTGGCAACATTGTTCAATGCCATGTTAAAACCATTCTTGGTCACGATCATGTTAAATCACAAGCATCCGCCAGCAAAGAGGTGCTTTGTTATCCACACAGGATCCTGGATCATTTCATGGCATCGTGAGGGGTTGTGCAACGGACAGCTCGTAGGCAAGGAAGCGTGATTGTACGGAAAGAAGAGCAGTCTGTGCCAAAGGTAAGAAACCAGAAACGGAGAGCTTGTTCCGCGGCCGGAGAGGTGTCTCCCAAAGGGAGTCTGCATCTTCAACTATGCCGGGAGGTACTTAACTAGGCATTGGTGTTCTGCCATTGGTTGCTTTCATAGTTGCTTCCATCAGGTTCCAGTGATCGACTTGATCGCATTGCACAAGATCGCGTTCATGCGGACAAGGAGTGCAAGATAAATTGCTGAAAGGCTTTGCTTTCTGGTTGCCAATACAGTTGACAAGGTTGATTGAATTTAACCGCAGAATGGTGTTCAGATACCCCTCTATCCGGTGGACGGGAATTTAATTTGCACTAACTTGTCGCGGTTTGTCAGGATGTCCGTCCACCAACGAGGAAGCTCAGCTCAGCATCCTTGGAGGCTCTCAATCGCATTCTTGTTGGCATGTGGATCATGCATGATGCTGCATGATCATGCGCACCGCCCTGCTCAGGAATTCCCCATCCAAAGAACAGAAAGTCTCAACAGCCGTCCTACAAGGCCAAGAACAGCTGATCGGAGGCTGAAAAGATCTGACACCTGGTCTTCATCCACATGGTCCACGCGGCCTATGGTGCCAAAGCTTCAGATCCCAGGAGCTAGTCGAAGTGAGCTGAAGGTGTGGTGCAGTGAGACGAAGTGAGACAAAGGAGACGGAACACTAGAAGGAAGATGAAGGTTCTCAGAATCTGTGGGCATTGAGAAGTGATGTTCCAAAAGAATCCCTTGAATTCATTGGCCTTCTTGCATTCGCCACTCGATAAGCAGGTGGAAGATACATCCAAGTTGATGGAAGAAGTGCAGAATTTGCAGGCTGTGCAAGTCTTGAAAGGGTGATAGGGCTCTCCCCTTTCTGGCCCGCAGGTTGTTGTAAATCTTAGTCTTAGTGTTTGCAGCGCTTTTTCATTTTCAGGAAATGGGTGGTTCCTTTTTGTTTGCCTATATATTAGGCGAATCCAAGAACCCACAAAACCTAGCTCTCTGTAGACCACAACAATCACACGTCAGAATTCCCGGCCGTCCGAAATTCAGATATATACTTATATATATATAACTTGCTTGTGTCATTGCTTTGACTCGAACAGGCCGCCCTCAAGCAAGAAGAGGCCGAACAACAGCCACCCTAAGGGTGGTCTGAAGAAAAGTTGCTCGCTTTGGCCTTTGATGTCGAGCAATTGGCAAGCAATGACAGATTTAAAGAAGAACTGAAGGGACACCGTTTTCCCGCACTGGAATTTGATCTGCCAAACGATGTGAAAAGAGAAACACCGTGAAACACCGAGATGTTGTGATAAGATGTGAGAAGTTTGCATGGCTTAGCACGACCAGGACGAAGTGCTGCAACTTCGAAAAGCGCTGTCGGAGAAGGTGCTGCGTGGTTTGGGACTTCTGACAATCTTGGGTTCGTCTAGGCTTGTTACGAAAAGAAACGGTTATTTCATATTACTTCTTGGTACTACAAGGTCTTGGTACTACAACAACTTAACAACTACACCAACGTAAGCTCGATGCAGAAGGAGGTGCTGTTTTCCGCAGAGCCCAGCATGGTAGACAGCCAAAATTAAAACTTTGGAGATGCCACGTTTGGATCTAGGAGCAAGCGTCCTAGGGGCTCCTGGCATCGCTACTAGGAACAAGAAGCTACTAGGGGCTCCTGGCCTTGCTACTAGGAGCAAGGACGCTACTAGGGGCTGCGCTTGGCAGGCCCCAAGAACTTCACCAAGGGAGCCCTTTGTAAGTCCTGAGCCAGAGAAGAAGGCTTGTCCATTCAAACCGAGCAGTTGAAACATGCTGAAACAGAACAAGATGTCCAGATCCGAAGTGAATTCTTCCAGATCCGTTTGCACCGGCGCACTTGCAAGAATGCAATCAAAATGTTCGATTCTTGAAGCAAACTTAGACTCACTTAACAAGAAGCTAGTAGAAGCAAGTGCCACGCTAGTAGTAACAGGTGCCTTACTAGTAGTAACAATGTTTGCTATTAAGATTGAGGTAAAGAAGAAGGGCGGCATACTTCCATCCTGGATGCGAAACCTCATTGACAAGGCAAGCAGCATGTTGTGCCGTTTTAATTGCACTGTGATGTCAATCAATGTCAATCCACGTCAGTCCCCCAAATAGGCCAATGCGCTGATGCGGCCAGCAGCCAGCGACTTCTTTCCGGACAAGCCTTACTCACAACAACGCTTCACTACTTATGCACTTTGGCAGCATATTTATTGAGTATCATTGAGTCATTGTCATTGTTTATTTGTGCATTTGTTCAGAATATACAGA